TATTATATAAAACTAGGATAATGGTATAATAGTAAAATATACTCATATGTAATTAATTGTAAGTTTTCTTTCTTTTATTAAAGAACATGTATATATAGAGTTGTGTTACTCAATAAAATAAATAATCATTCTCCACGAGATAACATATCACCCCTTCACTCAAGGCATGGGGTATATATATCACCCTCTCACTTAAGGCTGGAAGCATACAATTGAACAACCACTCTATTTCCAATGAAGCCAACGTGATTTCTTATAATCGAAACCTCAATTTTTCTCGTATTCTCACTTCACCGTGATGTCCATAATCTTCTTCCCTAACTAGAGAGAGAGAAAGAAAAATTAAAATTAAAAAAATATAACATTAAATATATAACTGGATCAGGTTCAGATGAATTTTTGTATCTTCGAACCCGTACCTGCAACCGACCTGCCTTGATGAAAGGAGTTAAACCAAGCTGCACCAATTTCGGTTCAAATTTACCAGGTTATAGATTTTTTTATCATCCTTAATCCTATGGGGCAATGTAGTAGATGAGTTCAACAAACTTAGACAAAAAAGACTATTGTAGAATATCAAAAGATGTTTGGGAGTTGAGGTTAGTGATCCTAAAAAGCAAACCAGACCTAAATGAGGCATATTTCATCTCAAACTTCATCAGTAGCCTAACTGATAAGCAATCACCCATGATCAAGTCATATAAACCTCATGCCTAAATAAAGCTTCTAAATAAGCCCAACTACAATCTTGAGATATTGAAGCTATGCTCCAATGTTAAAAAACATCAACCAAATATCTTCTACTACCATAAAACGCATATATAATAACTAAATATCATCACCACTAGAGCTAATAAACGCCATTGTTACAATCAACCCCATAATACTAATATACATAACAAAAAATGTTGCCTCTAACGCTAGGGTGGCCTAACGACTGCAACAAATGTGGGAAGAGGTACTTTCTAAGACATTGATATAAGGTAAGCCAAATAATGATGCTGGAAACAGTGGGTCAAAAAGAAAAGGAGGACCAAGACGAGATTCAGAAGGTAAAGGAATTAAAAAAACAAGAAAAGCTGAAGAAATTGGGGAAAATCTCACTGCAAGCTGTGGAAGGCCAAAGCTTGAATTGCCGAAGTATGGGCA